GGCTTGGGGAAATAGTAAGGGAGCTTTAACAAGAACTTATAAGGATTTGATTTGCTGAATTCTACAACATTAGTTCCTCTTTTGGTTTTCCTTTTTCTGTTTCTGCTTCTTGGGAGCATTTCTACAAGTCTATTTGTCCCATGTAAGAAGATGATTATTATTAGACACTGATTGTTCTCATACGTATCCATTTTAAAATTGCTTTCAAGGATAATCTAACTCAATTTCATTATTCAAGAATCAGAAGAACTTGATGGATTCAAAAACTTTGGAAGTTTCCTTTCTTTGTTTGCTTTTTGTACAACCAAACATTTTCTTGATTTGGGTTTTCATTCTCTTGAAAAATTAAGCAATCACGCATGCAGACAAGACTATTACTATAGGTTGTCAGAAGTTGCCAACTTGAGAGAGTGTCTTGTAAACTCAATCACTTGTCCATCTTTAGTTGTTCATAAATGCAGGAGAAGGAGGACCTCTTAACCTCTGACCATTCTCATTAAGCCACTCTTTCTCTCTCAAATATCGAAGAAATGGTCCTGGATCGTCAGTGAAGCCATAAGCGTTTGTTGTGGTTTGTTGAGCGTTGCAAAGCTTCTCTCCTCTAGGTTCATGGTCTTCCATGTAGAGCGGAGGGCAAAACGTTGTGTTTTCAGAACCGATCATCGATTGATCATTTGGTGTCCCATACCTAGCTAAGAGACTGAACTTGGACGACCCATTAGCCAAGAAGTTCCTCAAATTGTTTGGCCCCTGAGCTTGGTAGGAATAGGCTGATCCAAGATTCCGACTTTCTCTATATCGACGTAACCACTCAGAAGAAGATATCCCAACAACTGGGGGGCTTGAGTATGGCATGGTGAAACCGGGGCGTTCCATGTATCTTGTCTGGTCATATAAGCTCTCTGCTTTGCTACTAACACCATTATGAAACCAAGAAGCGTCTTCAGGCATTAAGGGAGCAGACGGAGTAGGAGGTGAATACGAAGAAGCCGGATGCTCGGTGCTGCTACTGATGGAGAGACTGTCAAAGGATGTGACAGGACCTGTTTCATCAATAGGGGTCAACCCGTTTGGTTTACTTAAACCGGATCTTCCATTCTCTTTATTCTTGTCAACCACCCAGGCGCTCAGCGATGGAGGTCTTCCTGGGATGGTAATGCCTTCTTCTAATTGCATATGTTGCGGGTCCATGTCCTTAAGAAATTGCATGAAGCTGAAACTTTCAGAGCTAGTATCATGTGGGCTATTGTTCACAACGAGCGATGAAGTGCGTCTTAGGCTTTCATCAGATGATGAAGTTGTGTTATCAGAGCTGAGTGGTTTCGTCGAAATGCCAGGAGAACTGATTGGAGCAGATTGACACCTTATAAGCGGCTTGAGAAGAATGACTTCTTCCTCATCTGCAGGCACAGATCTTTCATTCTCACAAGGAATGATCTCAACCGTTCCTAAAGTATCACATTTTCTGTTACTTCCCTCTCCATTCCCATGAAAGAGCTCTTCTTTGCGTTGCACTTCACATGAAGTTGTGTAGAAACGAGTCCCTTGCTCGTCAAAGAATAGCCACTTTTGAGAACCCTTCTTCTGAGTACTTGTGATCTCCATAGCAGAATTTATAATCCGTTGAAGACGAAGCTCCTTCCCTTTATCAAATCTCTCTCTTAGATCTATATGACTAGAGAAATCCAAAAGTACTTGTATAGGAGCAAGAGGAGCCAAGGACCTCAGTTCATGATCCTCCCAGAAAGCTACCAACGTTTTAGCAGAGCAGTTTTCGCCTTTCACCTCTAACCGGTTCAAGAAATCAACGAGTTTGTCAAAGAAGTAAGATATTGCAATCTCACTCGTCTCATCAAACCTCCATTCTTGCTCTTCTGCTTTGTGAAGCAGAAACGGTAAGTAATCTAGAAATACAAGTAGTGCAGGTAAGAGAGGGCAAGAATCCAAGGGACTCGTCTTCAAACATCTCTCAACAACTCGCCCCATGACGATGAAGACCATGGTAAATGCTAAATCTACTGGCTTCACTTCCTCTTTCGTGTTGTCTGATCCATTAAACTCGGCTATATGGTGGAAGAGGAAGATGAAAACCGTAACAAGTTGGAGGCTTCTATAAGGTCCCTTTCTCGCCGAGTCCATAACTTGATAAGACTCCAACATGGCTTCTAGATGTCTATCATCTGCTGCAAAAGCTGCATCCAACTCTCTCATAGTTGATGCAAATGCGCAACCAAACTCATCGAAACTGAAAACAAACCAAAAATAATCAAGAGAAGAACAGTTTGGAGAAAGGGTCGTCAAGAACTTGTGCTAAAAAGAACAGAAAATGCTCTACTCATGATCCAAACTGACCTGGATTTAAGGAAAAAGAAGCTAGTTGTTCGAACAACCAGTGGCCATAAATCAACTCCAGACGGTAATTCTCTTTTCGCGTTTGATAAACCGTGGTCCTCTCCGACATTTTTCACAGTAACATTGCTCACTGATGGGTTTAAGAAGTTAAACTGTGCACTATTAGACAGAGACTGCAGAGGAGAAGACCTGTTCTGCAGTAATGAAACCAAGCATTTTGAGCAATGCAAGGAAAAAACACAATCCAATTGCATATAGAGAAGTATCGGCGAGTCAAATCACCTTCTCAAACAACAAAAGAAGATTGTTCAAAGCACCAGGAAAAGGCTCTTTCACAGCTAAGCTTCTTACACAGTGATACAGAGCCAAGAACTCATCACCAACATAAGTCGCCAATACAGCTAGCTACACAAATGTAAGAAGAAACCCCACTCAGAAAAATGACAAAAACAAAAAACTAAAAACAGTAATGGAACAAGAATCAATTATCTACCTGGTTATGAGGATTTCCACTATCAGGCCAAGATTTTGCAGCTTCAAGATAGTAAGTAGCTGCAGTTGACCAATTAGGACCTTCATGTGTTTTCAAATACTGTTCTTTATACCTTTCAAGATCTCCAAGACATATATAGAAACGATGGCATAAGAATCTTTCTTTTTCTCCAGATTCCTTGTTATAATATCCTCTGACTTTCGATATCAGATTCTTGTAAAACTCTGTTGCTTTTACAAGAAACAATTTGAAGGCTCTCACATGATTGCTTGTCTTGCTATGCTCATCTGTTTTGGCGACGCCTTTGCGAAACTCATCGATGTGTTTATAGTGAAGTTTCCAGAGACAGAACTCAACTTCTTGAAGCTCTTCTTGTTTGAGATTGCTTTTAAAGATTTGCTCGTAGGTAAAACCTGATTTCTTGTACAATTCTGAGACATGAGGATGCAATATACCTTTTGAATGGATTAATGTCCATAGCTGTTTCTCAATGTTGTTTACCTGAGTGAACAAGAAAAAAAAAACATCATTAATACATATGCCAACAACACTTAAAAGATTCTTTAACTGCAAAAGTAACAAGCTTGGCTTTTGTTCTACTTACCTCTACAAGGAAATTAGGGTTTTGTTTCTGATTAGCTGAATCACCATTAATCTTAGGTAAAGCTTCCATCTTCAGACAAATATCTCAATTAGTGTTGGAAATTTTGTAACAGAGCACAAAAAGGAAGCCTGAGAAACAGAGTAGGTAAAAGCTTAAAGTCACAAGCTTTAGGTGAGATTAATGATACCCACAAGGTGGAATCTCATCAAAGAGAGAGAAAAAAGCATGAAGAAGAACACACAAGAGATCAGGTAATAAGAGATATCACAATCACAAAAGC